TCGAGCTCGAGTATTGCTGAGCTCGACTCGACTCGAAAACTCTGAAATGGAGCTCAACTCGACTCGAAAACTCGCGAGCTTAAAATTTTCAAGCTCGACTCGAACTAGAAATCCTTAACTGAAGCTCGTGAGCAGCTCGAAAAGGCTCGAAATGAAAAAAAAAAATTCTTAAACTTAACTCGATTGAAGCCTCAAACTCAAACTCGAACATGAACCTTAAATACATGAAATCTTACTGTATTTTTTTCGAGCCTGATCGAGTCAATCTCGAATAGCTCGCGATCTGTCTCGTCTCATTTACACCCCTAGTCACACCCCAATTCTGAGACTAAATTTTTTCTTACGCGATATCTGTTGCCTTTGATTTTTGTCTAGGCCATCCTTGGATTTGTGAAAACGGGGTTGCCCCGGATAGGGCACTTGATCCAGCTGTACTTTCTCGTCTTAAACAATTCTCGGCGATGAATAAACTAAAGAAGATGACTTTACGGGTAAGATTCTCTAGACGTGTGTGTCCGTTAATCCATATCTGTGTACAATGGAGTCGCATGTTTACGGGTACGATGGCTTCACTTGATGTCATTGTGACGGGAAAAAAGTTCTGCCTCTCTTGTGTACTATCAGGTAATATCTGAAAGCCTCTCCGAGGAGGAGATTGCAGGTTTGAGAGAAATGTTTACGGCTATGGATACTGATAACAGTGGTGCGATCACATTCGATGAACTCAAAGCTGGTTTGCGAAGATACGGTTCAACCTTGAAGGATACAGAGATAAAGGCCCTTATGGAACATCTAGAGCTTGAGGAACATCTCGTCGCTGCATTCCAATACTTCGACAAGGATGGAAGCGGCTATATTACGGTCGATGAGCTTCAACAAGCTCGTGTCGAGAATAACATGACGGATGGTTTGCTCGAGGATGATATCAGAGAAGTTGATCAAGATAACGTACGTCATTTTCACCTACACGACTGATCAAGATATTGCCATGCCAACGACTGAATTTACGAGATAATGTTGTGAGAAAAAAAAATTCACGAGATAATGCGTTCCAACAATTAATTGTTGAGCTCGAATGAAGGTCGCCAGGTGTTCTGGGCGACCAATGAAGGTCGCCAGGTGATCCATGGGAGAAACAATCAAACAATAATTGTTTGGGTTAAATGCAAATTTGGTCCTCACAACTTTACACTCTCATACGTGTGTTTTAATATTTAGGGGATAATAGCATTTTCGGTCCCCTATGCTTTGTAATCTATTTGTTTAATCATTTAGTGACATTTTTAATGTTTTGTTTCAGGCATGTATATTTTAATAATTATATTTTAGTCACTAGTTATTTATTCTGTCAAGTTTGTGTATGCTTCATTTTGATCATAATATTTTTAGTTATTTCATTTTAATCACTGATTTCATGTGTTTTATATATTTTCCTTAATTTTTGAAATTGGCCATGAAATTTGTAAACATGTTATTTTAGCCATTGTTTAGTATTTATGTTTAATTATAATTTAGTCATACATGTTTCTTGTTTATACGACCGAGGCCATCCGAAAGCATCCGAGAGCATCCGAGGCCATCCGACCGAGGCCATCCGAACGAGCTATGCGAGGGCAACCGAGCGAGCTATGCGAGGGAATCCGGGCTACCGAGCGAGGGTAGGTCGCCCGGAGTGCATGGCGACCTACAAGGTCGCCCTACAAGGTCGCCATGCACTCCGGGCGACCTACCCTCGCTCGGTTGCCCTCGGATTCTCTCGCATAGCTCGCTCGGTTGCCCTCGGATGCCCTCGCATAGCTCGTTCGGATGGCCTCGGATGCCTGGAAGGTCTCCCGGAAGGCATGGCGACCTACGACTAACATTGTGGATTTCACCCTATTTGAGCAATTAATCTTGGGAGTACGTTATATCGTTAAATAAAAAATTCGAGAACATTATCTCGAAAGTTTTGCCCATGCCAACAGGTACTACAAGTCCATAAAGTTTAATTGTGCAAGTGGAAGAAGCATTGCAAACCAATGAAACGGACAGATAAAAGAAAGAAAAAAACCTGGTCGTCGACTTGGTTAGCCAAGTATTTTAACCGTTTGCTAATCGTACGATAGTCGCCGGCTTGTTACCGTCCCGGAAACCGACTGTTTTGCTTGTTGTTGGCAGATTGTACAGCAAAGAAACAAGAAGAAGAGGGTTAGTGTGACAAAGCTTTGAAGCAAAACGGCAATGGGGTCGCTACCATGGGACTTGGTAACCCTAAGAATCATAAACTTTGTAAATTACTACTAAATTATTAGCGATTGCCTTTAATTTAATTTTTGTTGTTGATTTTTTATGGAAATGGTTTTTACAGCTACTGTGCTTTTTTAATAGTAAAAAAAATTTAAAATTTGATTTATGTATTAAAATATATGTTCTATATGATATCCAATTAACATTGAATATTATCTGACAGTTAAACCAATAGAAAAATCTAATTGATGGGTAGTTCTGTCGTACGACGGTTTAATATAAGGTTAAAAAACACTACCGTATATGTTATTACTTTTTAACATTTCCGGTAAAGTACTACCTAAAATATTATTTTTCTATCGGAAATGTTAATTTCACTATTTAAAAATCGGTAGAAAAAATAACATTTTAGGTAGCGCCCAATATTAATATTTCTGATAGAAAAATAATGTTTTAGGTAGTTTTTTACCAGAAATGTTAAAATAATAATAATATTTTCGGTTACGTTTTTCCTTAATCGTATATTAAGGCTGCCGCACCTGAGAAATCTCCCTAATTGATGTGATATTTGTTAGTCTTATTTCTTCAAGTATCAAAATTTTCAAAACTGAATAAATTAATTAAGCTATAAGACTTAAGGGTAAATTTGCATTTAGTACCTAAACTATCAATTTTGGTCTAGTTTAGTATCTAAATTTTCATTTTTTTTTTCAAAATCATACATAAAATTTAGTTTTTATTTCATTTTAGTACCACTGTTTAAAATTTAACATAAGTTTTGAAAAATTGAAAGTTTAGGTACTAAAATTGACCAAAACTGATAGTTCAGGCACTAAACACGTTAGGTTTTTAGCGGCGGGTATTAAAAACTAAACATTAGATATAGTTTTGAAAAAGTTAAAAGTTTAGGTACTAAAATAAACTAAAATTGATAGTTTTTGTACTATATGCATAGTTTACCCTAAAATTTAATGCATAGAATGATTTTATTTTCATAACCAAAATAATCAAATTGATTTTTTTTAACCAAATCAAAATAACAACTAAATCGAATTGCTAATTTTCTCTTCTTTTTTTTCTTAAGATTTAATTATAAAATAAAAAGAATATTAACAAAATTAAACATTTATACGATTAACTAATGTGTAAAGTACACAAATGATCCCCAACTATAGGATACTTCTTTATTAAATCCCTCGACTATTAAAAGCTACATAATAGTATTCTAACTATAAAGTGTTATTTTGTTGAGTCCATCTACTGTTAAAAGTTACAAAATGGTCACTGTACTATTTATTATGTTAAAAACTCGCCATTTTCCATTAAAAAATTGAAAGTTTTCTGAGTTGAATGTTAACATACTAATATGATACAATATGATCCCAAAATCTCAAACGACTATCATAACTCGGTCATCATGTTAACATTCAGCTTAGAAAGCTGTCGATTTTCAACGGAAAGGGACGAGTAACAAAGTAATATTCTATAGTCGAGGACAATTTTATAACTTTTAATAGCCGAAGGACATAATAAAGTATTACCCCATAGTCAAGGGACCATTTGTGTACTTTACTCATTAATTTGATTAAACTGTTTTCTTTCTCTTTTTCATTTTATGATTTATTTATAAAATAAAAATATAATAGTAAAACTAACCATAAAAGTTAGAATTTGTAGTTTTTTTCATTTTCAACTTTACGTTTGGAAGTAAATTATAATTTTACCCTTATTAATACATAGACTACACCCAATTATATATTTACATTTTATTTTAATAATTTAATATTAACATCTTGAAAAAATAATTTAGTATTTAATAATTTATTTTAATTATTTAAAAATAAATAAAATCCATGGTTTATATATTAAAATTTTAATGGTGAGTTCTTATAAAATACATTTTAATTTTAATTATATTTTTATGTGTATTTTTTTATAGTTTTATTATAGTTTAAATTGATATATTTCATATAAAAAAAATTGTTAATGTGTTATCTTAAAATTTTTTTTTTTATATTTTTATTATAATTTAAATTGATATATTTTATATATCATAGTATTAATAATTGTAAATATAATTTAAATTTTATATTTTTAATTTATAACATCTATAATAAATATTTTATATTTTTAACTCATTTTTTAACAATAATCTCAAACATTTAGATTTTAAATTGCGCTTTTAAATAATACTTTTAAAAGTTATTTTCTACCGTACTTTTAAAAGTCTCTCTTCGAAAGCCATGCCAAACTGACCCTAAATTAATTTAATTCATTCGATTAATTTAATTTAATTGATTTTATCGACCTATAAATATAATAAATATATTAACATTTAGGATAAATTACGTATTTAGTACTTAAACTTTTAATTTTTTCAAAACCACACCTAACGTTTGGTTTTGTTTCATTTTAATAACTCATTGTTAAAGCTTTAAAGCGTTTAGTACCTAAATTATTAGTTTTTTCCATTTTAGTATCTAAACTTTCATTTTTTTCAAACTTAATGTTAAATTTTGAATGGGTATTAAAATGAAATAAAAACTAAACTTTAATTATGATTTTGAAAAAATTAAAAATTTATATACTAAAACAGAACAAAACTAGTATTTAGAACTAAACGCGTATATATACCCTAAAATTTGTACAAAAATGTTAATAACTTGCGAGAAATTGTTATAATACCCAAAAAAAAAACATTGATTTTCAGTTTTCACAATGCCCCCTCGAATTCACTTTATTTTCAAAACGAGGGACTGAATCTCAGATATACAATCTCAGAAGCCCAATCATCAAAGCCAGTTGAGCTGAACTCAAGTACGGTTCAAATCGGACCATTTTTGCTCTATTTTTCTTTAACAACACATTCCATAGCAGAAAGCAGTGAGATCTGCTACGAGCTAATTCGAAAATGGAGTATCGCAAAATCAAAGATGAGGTGTTTCTTCCTTTTATTTTTCTCCTCAATCGTACGTCTCAACGTTCTTAATTATCATATTCGGATGTCAAATTGGATCCATCGTCACTGATATCTTTGCTTACGTTGATTTTGCCTGCAAATCCTTTGCTTTAGCTTATTCTGTGAACCTGGTGGCTAATTTTCTTGAATTCCTCGAAAATTCGATATAATTGTTTACTGGAGAAAAGAAGTGCCAATTTAAAGTATTTCTGGTTATAGTACATTTTATTCTTGTTCGAGTGAATTTTGATTTGTAAAATTGAAGGAATGGTGTTTACTTGTTGAGTATGTGAAATCTGTCCTAGATTTGATTGAAATTATCTACATAAGAGGTTTAAATCCGATATTTATTCTTGTTTGAGTGAATTTTGATTTGTAGGATGATGATGGTGGAACTGTAAGTGATGACATTGAGAATCTAAGAGGCACAGGGTTTCCAGGGGTTGGTATGTTTTGGTTAAAAGTGCTTGTTTGATTGCTATGCAATTTCAATTGTACAAAATTTCGTCCTTTGCTTTTCTCATTTCTGTTATGATTTCCATTGATATGCAGCTTCCGTAAGTAATGTTCCTCCAAGGGAACAGGCTAAGTGGAAACGCAAGTAAGATCGACTTACGTGATCTGTTTTCCTTTTACTAATATTTGCTTTAAAAAAAACAGAAAAAGATAAAAAAATTGATGGTTTTTCCCACCTTGATTAGGACAATTGTTACACTTGCATTGACTTTTCTTACAAGTTCACAAGCAATACTTATTGTCTGGTCGAAGAGAGCTGGGAAGTACGAGTATAGTGTTACCACAGCGAACTTTATGGTGAGTAGAATAGCCATCTTGTGTTATGACTTGACATGGTGCCAATGGGATTGACCTTATACTGTTATTTCGGGAAACAGGTGGAGACTTTGAAATGTGCCTTGTCACTTGCAGCCTTGGCGAGAATATGGAAAAGTGAAGGTGTTACAGATGATAACAGGTAAATCTTACTTGCGATTGCTTATGTCTAATTTTTCTATTAACATGGAGATGATGAACATACTTTTTTCCTTTATTATTGGACTAGGTTGAGTACAACCCTCGATGAAGTTATTGTTTATCCCATTCCTGCCTTACTTTATCTTGTCAAGAATTTGCTACAGGTGGATTTTGATTTTTGGTTTCTCTGTGAGTAACTATATCTTGGTCTTATTTTCCAAAATGTAATTGTATGTCCTTTTCAATTTTATGTTTGCAGTATTACATCTTTGCCTATGTTGACGCACCGGGTTATCAAATACTGAAGAATCTGAATATTATCAGTACTGGTGTTTTGTATCGTATCATCCTTAAGAAAAAGTAAGCTGCTTAAAACCACGCACGTCGGTGTTTTCCATAAAAAGAGTTGATGGATAAAATCTGCTGGTTTTTCAGTATAGCGTAGCATAGCAATTGAAATTATCAGAATCTCAGTTATGCAAATTCCAATTAAATAAACCTAATATACATTAAAGTGGAAGAAACACCAAAATAGACATATATTGTGCACCTTTTGGATTCCATAAAATTTTCTCTTATTGATACTTTAATTCAGATTAAGTGAGATTCAATGGGCAGCTTTTATTCTCTTATGTGCTGGCTGCACAACAGCACAACTAAATTCTCGGTAAGAATCATTAAACCTTTCCTAATTTTTCCAGAATTTGTTTCTGAGCACATGTTTGTTACTTTGATGCAAACTTATTGACTTTGGAGATTGTCTTAGTGCTGTTGTCTGATGGTTTAACGTGATAGACCTGCCGATTTCATCTTGATGAACGCCAAAAATTGTCAGATAATGATTGAACAATTTGAACATGTATGCTTTATATGGTTATGGGTAGAATATTTGAAATGGAAACCGATATCTCAATTCTCAATCCCATGAGGATAGGGACATGCTGTTCTCAATTTGAGTTTTTTATGGGGTTTATCATTTGGCTATCCCTTAGTAAATTTGCATTATGTTTTGTAGTTCCGATCAAGTACTTCAAACACCTCTGCCAGGTTGGATAATGGCCATTGTAAGTTGAAAAAATATTTGCCTTTTTGTTCCATAAAGATGAAAAGTAGAATTGATTGGTTGCTTCAAAATCAAAATTTTTAATCATTTGTATCTTTATTTGCTTTGCAGGTGATGGCTCTTTTGAGTGGATTTGCAGGAGTCTACACTGAGGTAATTTTTTTAAGATATTTGTTCCATTTCTTCTTTTTTGCGCTGTAACTTGTTTTTGGATGGTTATTTACTGTCAAGGTGTTTCGCCGATGTTGCCTAATCCGATTCTGGTTGAATTCAGTGATTTATAGTTCTCAATCAATGAAAATGTCTTGATTCAGTTAAAAACATACATAGTTTCTGCTGAATTTAATTAGAAAATTCTTGATTGTCGTAGAAATCCATGTTGATTATTTACTTTTGTTGGCAGGCTATAATTAAGAAGCGTCCTTCAAGGAATATAAATGTGCAGAATTTCTGGTTGTATATCTTCGGAATGGCCTTCAATGCTGTAGCAATACTAATACAAGATTTTGTTGCTGTCATGAACAAGTAATCTGAGCCTTTAAATTTGGTTTCTGTCATCTATCTTAGAAATATTATTATTAACTCAGCATGTTGTGCATTTATATGACTCATTACCTGTAGATACATAAATGATATACATCTTACGAAATGAAAAATCATCTGTTTAGCCGTTCAGAATAGAGTTGTGTTTTAATAACTTCATAATCCGTGATAGTTCTTTCATTCATATTTTGAAATTTATTTCATTTGCTCAGGGGCTTCTTCCATGGATACTCAATAATTACCACTCTCATGATCCTTAACCATGCACTCAGGTATTGCATTCTCCTTTCTGGCTTGAGTACGTTTGCTAGCACCTAGTTGCTGTCTCCATTTATAGTTTTGCAGTAGACATTGTATTTAGGAAGATATTGCAATCTTTTCTGATAATTAAACTTTGTTCTTGGAGAACACCGGGAACCTAAAAAAACATGTTATAATGCCATTTTATAACTGTAAGAACACCATGAACCTCAAAAAATGGGCAATGAGCTATGCAACTACCATTCAAGGGATGTCTAGCTCTTTGCTACTTACCTGCCCTTTCAATACAACAAGAAATGGAAATTCTGAAGTTTGACAAGCTTACTACAGCCGATGCTTATATGAATCTCTGTTTAAGTAAGGACCTTTTAGTTCCCTGGTTTTGTTTTCATGAAACATGCTCATTTATTTGTTCCATTTGCAGTGGAATTGCTGTATCGATGGTAATGAAATATGCGGACAATATTGTGAAGGTAAGACATGATATGAAATTTCATATTTATTTAATCTTTTATTTGCCTGAATTTACATCCCTCTCTCTGATTTGTTCGGATCTTGTGAGTTAGGCATGCCATGGTTTTAGCATAGAGTAATAATGTTCATGCATTTGCATGGACATGCATTTGTAGTTCAATTTACAATGAAGTTGCTGATCCTTTTTCATGAAGATTGGGTTACTTTTCTGTTCTACTCCTATTTCAAGTAAATTCCACTTTTCTTGATGCTTTAACCCGTAAATACGGTGCTTTATTTTAACGCGTAAGAGCTTCATTTCCCATCTCTCTTAACCTGTTTCCATATCATTATACCATTCACACAGAGCTGCATATTAAGGAATGATTTTGCGGCTTCCCGATGAGATATATTTATTTATCCTCACTCGAGTTATTTCGAATGAACATTTTAACATAAAGTAATTATCGGCCTATTTGGGAACATGATAAAGTGCTGTAATGGTACGAGGAATGCGTCTTTTCATGCATAACACATTCTGTAACCATTTTGAATCCTTCAATTGAAGTTCCGATGTTTATTTAATGCTTCACAGGTCTATTCCACCTCTGTTGCAATGCTTCTCACTGCCGTTGTTTCCGTCTTTCTCTTTGGCTTCAATCTGACCCTTGCTTTCTTCCTTGGTGCCACGTAAGTTATCTCCGGCCACATTTTACTATACAAGCAGTTAATAGTCTCTTATGCATGAATTCAATTCCGACATCTATCGTAGTTCAGAATATCGCTGCTCGGTAAATGGTCCCACACTTAAAACCGTGTGTCTTTTCATGCATATAGAGCCGTATACTACACCATTTCATCCAGATCAAAACGTGTGGAGATCGTGTTCAATTACGGTATTTCTCCGGTTTTTGCAGTGTTGTATCGGTATCGGTTTACTTGCACTCTGCCGGGAAGCTGCAAAGGTAGCGACTTCCTGCATTGGGTTCGCCCCGACAATGTGAAGTCTTGTGCATTCAGATTTAGTTCAAGTGTTAAACAGTGTTTAAGGGGTAAGTTCCCAGACTTTAATTCCTTGTTTAACCATTTTTTAGCAGTTTAACTTTCTTTATTCTTTTGGGTGTGTTTTATTGAGTTATCCTGTGGTAATTCTAAACTTTTAATCTTTGATAATATTAAACTCGATATGGTTATTATTATTTGATGTGAAAAAAATAATTAAAACGTGATACCATGAGTTAAATTCACATATGAATTGTTATATATATACATATATATATATATATATATATATTTAAGTATAATTTTTAATTTTTTTAGACCTATTCGTTTTTATAAATAGATGATTCAAGGTTTCAAGCATGTTTAGTTAATTTATGTTTCATTTTTCTAATTTTTTTAAGACTATTTTTTTATTTAATTTTTAATAATACTTAACATTTTTAAGGTAATAATATTTAACACTTTTATAAATACGTATTTTGGATGACAAAGTTAATCTATTTTTTAAAGATTTTTTTAAGATTAGATTATATCAAATATCACTAATTTTTAAATAATATTGATTCAATTACATATAACATTATTTTTGTTATTAAGCTAATGTGATTATAAAATAGTATATATTTTAAATATTTTTAATCATTTTGTTATTAAGCTAATGTGATTATAAAATAGTATATATTTTAAATATTTTTAATCATTTGACAATGAACGTTCAATAATCTTGCTACAATCGTTAATACTCGAACGCACTACCTCTAAAAATAATAATGATTCTTTCCATCACTGAGGTAAATTGATTTATACTATAACACTAAACTTTAATTATAATACTTGATTGTTAAATCTAAAATGATGTAATCATTTGAGCCAGTTTCTGTCATCATATCAATATAAAAATCAAAACAATATTATATATGATTAAATAAAATTTGGATAAACTACGCGCATGGTGTCTAAACTATCAGCTTTGATATGTTTTAATACTTGAATTTTTATTTTTTTTAAAATCATACCTAATGTTTAGTTTTTATTTTATTTTAGTATCTCGTTGTTAAAAACTTAATGCGTTTAGTATCTAAACTATCAATTTTGATCCGTATTAGTATTTAAACTTTCATTTTTTTCAAAACTTAACGTTAAGTTTATAACAGTGATACTAAAATGAAACAAAAACTAAACATTAGATATGATTTTGAAAAAAATTGAAAGTTTGTACTAAAATATATCAAAGCTGGTAGTTTAGGTATTAAATACGTAGTTTACCCTAAAAATTTATAAACACAAAACGACATAGTATTGAGTCCTCCTCTCGTCAGATTTCTTGTCATCACTGATATCATCCCACCAAACTTATGATTTTCAATATCGAAGTTATTACATGTTTAAATAGATGAATTAAAAAGCTTTCGTATTAATCTAAAATCAACTGAAAAGCAAGCGTGATTCAGAGCATCATTTTGTCTTTGTAATAAAATATGCACTCCTGCTTCTTGCAAACCTAAACCTAAACCTAAACCTAAACCGAATGAGTATACTTGGAGCATAAGTCTGCCAAAAAACAAGAACTAATCGTAAAGGCCCAGCTTTCTTGAACTTCACTCAAAAGCAACACTCGAAGCTTAGAAAAATCACTGTATAAACACTCATCGCACTGCTTTCCTCAAAGCAACTTTTAGTATTCAGTTTTAGCAACAATGGCTACCTCTTTGCTCTCCACATTCTCCATCCAAAACCTGATAATTTTATCGGTCTTCGCAGTTTCATCTCTTTCCCACGATTTCTCTATCGTCGGTTACTCGCCGGAGCATCTGAGTTCCGCCGACAAACTCATCGAGCTCTTCGAAGAGTGGATATCGAAACACGGAAAGATTTACGAGTCGATCGAGGAGAAGCTGAGGAGGTTCGAGGTTTTCAAGAACAACTTGGAGCATATTGATAAGAGGAACAAGGAAATCAGTAGCTATTGGCTCGGGTTGAACGAGTTCGCCGATTTGAGCCACGACGAGTTCAAGAACATGTATCTGGGACTCAAAAGGCCAGATGTTCGACGAGAACACCAGTCGGCTAAAGAGTTCAATCACGGAGACGTGGTCGAGTTGCCGAAAAACGTAGATTGGAGACAGAAAGGAGCTGTCACTCCGGTCAAGAATCAAGGTTCTTGCGGTAAGCGTTGCTTCTTTGTCTCTATAGCGTTATACATTACAAGCAAAATGGTTATATATAGTGTTTATTTTTACTCACAATCGGAGTTCGTCACTAAAGCAATATTTATGCCGACGAATACTTAATATACCGGCACATATTTCTATTGTCACTCAACCATGTTAAAATAATCCTTTTGGTAATCAAACTTTTCAATGCTATAAAATGTTCATTAAACTTACGAAACTATTACAAAATGATCCTTATGATATAGGGATAGGCATTTGACCCAAATCCGTCCCTATATTTTTTTTTTATAATTCAGGTTCGGATCGATTTTTTTTGGAAGTATAAGACCACGTTCGAGTTTATGATGAAAAATATCCGACTCAACCTAACCTGAGAATAATAGTATAATTGGCATTTATATAATTAGAGATAATTACTATAATACCTCTCTTTATCTTTTTCAATTAGACCCCTATCTTACTTAATAGAAATGAAAATTATATATATATATTGGGCCGGTCTGAGTTTTTACCCTAAAAATTATGTCAACTTTCGAATTAGGTGGAGTTCCCCTAAACTTGAATTGGGTGATAGGTGGAGAAGTGTTATACTCGTATCAAGATTGGATGGGCTAAAAATCCGCCCGACCCGAGCATCCTTACTACGATGTTATAAATAATAATAAATTTTAATAAATTTAATTATCATTTTATATTATTAGTTTATAATTATAGAAAAGTTTAATAATTACTTTGTAATATTTAAAAGTTAACTGATAAAAAATTGATTTTTATATAGTTTAGTTACATCGGATATAATTTATTCTTAAAGGTTTTATAATACCTATTATTTTTCTTGTATACGTATGTTTATGCTGAATATTCTTTTTGGATATTTATTCATCAAAGTTGCATTCCTTTGGCTTGAACAAAGGGTCAAGAGAAAAAAAAATCAAAAATCGATTTAAATCGTTGTACTTGGTTCAAAGCATAAATGCATTTGCAGGTAGTTGTTGGGCATTTTCGACAGTGGTGGCCGTCGAGGGCGTAAACCAGATCGTGACGGGCAACCTAACTTCGTTATCGGAACAAGAGTTGATCGACTGCGACACTTCGTTCAACAACGGATGCAACGGAGGACTAATGGACAACGCATTCCAATTCATCGTCGCCAATGGTGGACTTCACAAGGAACAAGACTATCCCTACCTCATGGAGGAAGGCACATGTGAAGAAGAGAAGGTTTAAATAACAAAAAATAAAAAGTTGATTTCTTATTCCAAAACGTAAAGGAAAGTAAAAAAGAGGGTTCATTTGAGTAATTAATCATTTAATTTCAGGATGAAATGGAAACAGTGACGATTAGTGGCTACCACGACGTTCCACAAAACGACGAGCAAAGTCTGCTCAAGGCATTGTCTCGTCAACCACTCAGCGTCGCCATTGAAGCTTCCGGCAGAGATTTCCAATTCTATAGTGGGGTGAGTTAACTCGAATCATCTATTTAAATTCGAAGGTTTGCTTGGATTTTTTTTAGTTAAATCTTTATTTAATCATCCCCTATTATAGGGTGTTATTTTATCGAGTCCCTCAAACTATTAAAAGTTACAAAATGATCATTTAACTATTTAAATGTTTCAAACTTGTCATTTTTTTGTTAAAATTTGATGACAGTCTGAGCGAACGTTAACCTATTGACTAAGATTCTGAGATCATATTTTTATCATATTACAGCCAGTAGGTTAATGTCCAGCTCAGATTGCCGTTAATTTTTTAACAGAAAATGACAAGTTTGGAACATATGAAAAGTCGGGTGACCGTTTTGTAAGTTTTAATAGTCAGTGGACTCAACAAAATAATGTCCTATAGCTTAGGGATCATTTTATAACTTTTAATAATTGGAGACTCAACAAAGCAATATCCTATAATTAGGAGACTATTTGTGTACTTTACCCTTTAAAAATAATTTTGTTAAATAGTTTGAGGTGATTATAATGTAGCATATCTTCAAAATTTTCTTAATATGTTGACAATACATTTATCTTATATATATAACTATTCGAATCCATACCTTATAAAAATATATATTTAATTTTATCATTAAAATTAGAGATGGGCACGAGATCCGAACTCGACAGGTTCCGACCCAACCCGACCTGATCGAATCATTTTTTAAAAAATAAATTATGTTTAAGTTGGATTTTTTTTAGAAAATATGTGTAGATTGTGTCAGGTTCGAGTTTAGCGTGAAAAATACTTGATTCGACTCGAAAAATAATATAAATTTAACTTATATATTTACGGATAATTATAATAAAAACCCTCTCTAAATTACTTTTTTTTATTAGATCCCTATTTTTATTGAATAAAAATAATATTTTTATAGATATATTTATTTCGAGTCGGATTGGATCGAGTTCAGATTTTATCTCAAAAAATCAGATCGGATTCAAACTAAGTGACGTCATCCCTAAATTCAAGTCGAATTAAATTTCGAATAGATTTTATATATTTTCGATTTGGTTCGAATTGACGAAAAACCCAACCCAATCCAACGGACCCATGCCTATCCTTAATTAAAATCACTTAATAAATGCTTAAAAAATAAAATCTTGAATTTCTATTATAGGGTGTATTCAACGGACCGTGTGGAACCGAACTGGATCATGGAGTGGCAGCCGTTGGATATGGAACATCAAAGGGCACAGATTACCTAATCGTGAAGAATTCATGGGGACCGAAATGGGGCGAGAAAGGATTCATTAGGATGAAGAGAAACACTGGCAAACCCGAGGGCATTTGCGGTATCAACAAAATGGCTTCCTATCCTACCAAAAATAAGTGATTTAATATTTAACTCTCTATTGTTGGAGGTGTTCTCTCATAAATAAAAATAATTTCAATTGTATTAAATTGTATTCCATTATCACTACTCAAACTATAATTTTCATCTTATTTTATCTCAAAAAATAAATAAATTTTTAGGATAAAGTATACAAATAATTCTCCGACTACAGGGTGTTGCTTTGTCGAGTCCCGTACCTATTAAAAATTACAAAATTATCACCTGACTATTCATGTGTTCAGTTAAAAAATTGATGGACGTCTATGCTAAATATTAATGTCCAGTTCAGACGATCGTCAATTCTTTTAACAAAAAAGACAAGTTTATAACATATAAGTAGTCGAATGATCATTTTGTAACTTTTGATAATGAGGAGACCCAACAAAAAAGTACCCTATAATCAAAGGATCATTTGTATATTTTACTTTAAGTTTTAATAAAAATATTACTTGTGTCATATATGAAACAGATAAAAGATATGCTTATCTTTTAATGAAAATATTCTCAATACTTCTTGTATTTTTAATTAAATTAATGATTATAAGATAATATTTTTTGGAATCTTTCTCGTTGATAATACAAATCTTACGAATGTGATTGTCCGAATCTATATTATTTTAGAGAACAATGCCCTCTTTTATCAATCACTCAATAAGTTTAAGGGTAAATTATACATTTAGTATCCAACTATCATGTTTCTTTTGTTTTGGTCACCCAACTATTTTTTCACTAAAATTATACTTAACGTTTAGTTTTGGTTTCATTTTGGCCAGTCGTAGTAAAAATTAATAATGATGTTGACATGTCATCATAAGATAATGCCTTGTCATCATTGAAAAAATAAAAAATACGCAACACTAGGTATGATTTTAAAAAAGAATAGTTGTGTGATCAAAACGAAACAAAAGTGATAGTTGGAGTAATAAATGTATAGTTTAACCTAAGTTCAATTATATTATATTTTAAAATATACATTTTCAAACAATATATTTATATTTATATTTAATTTCAAACAAAATATTAAATATATTTATCTTAAAATTTAGGATAAACTACGTATTTAGTACCTAAACTATCAGTTTCGTTCCATTTTAGGACGTAAACTTTCAATTTTTTTCAAAACCATGCATAACATTTAGTTTTCATTTCATTTTACTACCTTGCCATTAAAAACTTAACGCGTTTAGTAATAAAACTATTAGTTTTGGTCCGTTTTAGTACCTAAAATTTTAATTTTTTTCAAAACTTAATGTTAAAATTTGAACGGGTACGAAAATGAAACAAAAACTAAATTTTAGGTATAATTTTAAAAAATGAAAGTTTAAGTACTAAAACATACTAAAATTGATAATTTAGATACTAAACGTGTAGTTTATCCTAAATTTAAAATGATTAAGGGAGTGTTTGTTTACCTCTTAATGAAAATATTCAACGCGTTTGTTTTACACCTCTGAATGATTCATTGTTGACTGATTCAGCAAAATAGTGCTGAATGATTCGGCACAAAAATACATTCTGAATGATTAAGAGTCATTATCAAACATGTCACGTTCAAGACTAATTCATATATAGACTCTGAATCATTCCGCATTTAAATAATTGTAAACAAACAACACCTAAATGAATAGAACAATTAAGAGACAAATAATTCTGCCGTTGATTACTTCAAAGGAATTTGCTGGGGAAAAGAAAGACATGGCGAAACCAAAGGAATTTCAACTTCAATATTAACCATCGAAATACTTGAAGAAAGAAAAAGGGGAAACTGCTAAGAACGAAGGAAGCAATGAAAACGGTATCAGCTAAGCTAAAACACGTTAGAACTTCACTTTCTTCATTATCACGTCCTTATTCTCCAACTCCTCTAGCCTTCCATGCTAAACCCAGAAACCCATCTTCATCGTCTCTTCTAAACGAATTCGTAAACTTCTGTTACCAAAGGGACCTTCCAAGGGCATTGAAAGCCATGGCCGCCATGGAAAGGCACGGCATTTATGCTGACTCGATCACCTACTCCGAATTGATCAAGTGCTGCTTAGCTCGCAACGCTGTAGAACAAGGGAGACTCGTTCACAAGCACGTTTCCTCAATTGGGTACCAACCGAAAACGTTTATTCTCAACATTTTGATTAGTATGTATGTGAAGTTTAAGTTGTTACATGAAGCGCGGGCTGTGTTCGACGAAATGCCTGAGAGAAATGTTGTTTCTTGGACGACGATGATATCTGCTTATGCTAATGCCGGGATAAGTGAAAAGGCGTTGGAGTTCTTTGTTTTAATGCTTAGAGAAGGCGTGTTGCCTAATATGTTTACTTTCTCTTCGGTTTTGAGAGCCTGTAATGGGATATACAATCTTAGGCAGATTCATTGTGGTATAATAAAGGTGGGGTTAGAATCTGATGTTTTTGTTAGGAGTGCTCTTATTGATGTTTATTCGAAATTGGATGAGTTAAGAGATGCGATTTGCGTTTTCAATGAAATGGAAACTAAGGACCTGGTTGTTTGGAATTCGATTATCGGAGGGTTGGCGCAGAATAGCGATGGCGATGAAGCTTTGAATCAGTTCAAGAGGATGAAAAGAGCCGGATTTACGGCCGATCAAGCGACATTAACGAGTGTTCTGAGAGCCTGTACCAGTTTAGCTCTTTTAGAAGTAGGGAGGCAAGTCCATGTTCATGTGTTGAAGTTTGATGTGGATTTGATTCTCAACAATGCACTTTTGGATATGTATTGCAAGAGTGGTAGTCTGGAGGATGCCGAGTCGCTTTTCAAGCGAATGGTTCATAAGGATGTGATTTCATGGAGTACGATGATTGCAGGGTTAGCTCAAAATGGTTTTAGCCAAGAAGCATTGAAGCTCTTTGATTTAATGAAAGCTTCAGGTATGAAACCGAATTATATCACTATGGTTGGGGTTCTTTTTGCTTGTAGCCATGCCGGTCTTGTGGATGATGGGATGTTTTATTTCCGATCGATGAAGAGACTTTACGGGATTGATCCCGGAAGGGAACACTATGGTTGTATTATTGATCTTCTTGGAAGGGCTGGTAAACTTGACGAAGCAGTGAATTTGGTTCGGGAAATGGAATGTGAACCAGATGCTGTGACATGGAGAACCTTGCTTGGTGCATGCAGGGTTCATCGAAATGTGGATCTGGCAATATATGCAGCTAAACAAGTTCTAAAACTCGATCCTGAAGATGCAGGGACGTATGTATTGTTGTCCAATATATATGCGAATTCTCAGAGATGGGAAGATGTCACTGAAATTAGGAGGCAAATGAGAGAAAAGGGCATTACAAAGGATCCTGGCTGCAGTTGGATTGAAGTGGACAAGCAAATTCATGCTTTTATTTTAGGGGATACTGCACATCCAAAGATCAACAAAATCAACAGGCGGCTGAATGAGTTGATTCACAAGTTAGTAGGAATCGGTTATGTTCCAGATACGAACTTCGTTCTGCAAGATCTGGAGGGGGAACAAAGAGATGACTCGCTTTGGTATCATAGTGAGAAGTTGGCAATTGTATTTGGTTTAATGAGTTTTTCCAGTGGAAGTGCTATTAGGATTAGGAAAAACCTTAGGATCTGTGGAGATTGTCATACCTTCTCAAAGCTTGTTGCAAAGATGGAGTGTCGACTTATTGTCATTAGAGATCCTGTTCGTTACCACCATTTCCAGAACGGAGTATGTTCTTGTGGCGACTATTGGTAGCAAAGTGAACAGATGGATTTTTGACTTATTGTCATTAGAGATCCTATTCGTTACCACCTTTTCAAGAATGGAGTAAGTTCTTGTGGCAACTATCGGTACCAAGTGATGCCGTAAGGTGACGAGTTCAAATTTCATTCAAAGTACAAATGCAGGTACAAGTTTCCTTTGGAGGAAGACTTGGTCTAACTATAAGGTTGGTTCAATGGTATAGGCTTGGATGAAAAAGGAAATCAAAGGAGCATCCCAAGAGTGAAATGGACTCCTTGTAACGTTTGGACACAGATTACTATCAATCTTTATTCTTTGTAATTTGATGCTTGTTAAGACTTGCTTGGTTAATAAATTCGTACTTATGATTATTGTGTGGAACTGGGAAATTCAAATACCATTACAAGAAGTTACATGATAATCCATGAAGTTACATGATGAGCCAGCTCTCTTCAGCACAGATAGGTGGTTAAACTGCTTCCTTTATTGATACATTACCAGGAACATGCTGAACCTCAGCGACCGAATGGTACAAAAAAGGAAGAGAGGGAAGCTGAGAGCTACCCCTTGAGCATGAAGATGTGCCTTTTCAGTCCCTTTACAATTCGTCTCTCGAAACTCCATCTCTTCCAGGTGGGACATATGATGTATAAGCTTTAATTATAGACTCGTAGACTTCGATTCCTCTCAAGTACTCTTTTTTGTTTAGAAACTGTAATAAGGTAGAGATCGCAACAGTCAGATCGCATGTCTGCAATCCCTAGACATGAATATCGGGATATCACAATGCAGCAAAGTTTCAATTGCATGTCATCTAGAATTATAGACAAGGAATCCTTCATGGCTACCACTACTTCAGGTTCAGGCTATTCTAAATTGTAATACATGCATTAAAAGTATCATTCGGCCAATTTTCTATGATAAACCACTCCCACGTCCCGTCCCACCCGAAAAAAATAGAGAAAGGAAATGGCATATACATGCAAGCATACACATCATCGGCATATGAAAAAATTATTTAAAGATGGACCTCATTGTGGTCGTGAAGCAGAAATGGAGTGTTGGCCATCGGTTGGAAACCGATAGCTGGAAGGCCTAGTTGCTGGAAATAGCGAGCATCTGTTGCACCGGAGAAAATCTCTGGCTTCCCGATCTTTCCATTAGCTTTCTTGATAGCTTCTTCCATTAGAATCCACCATGGATTAGAACTATCAGTGGCAGTTACAAGAGGCCTTCCCAGATCATCATGTGAAGTAGCTTTTTGCTTAAACTGGAAACAATAATACTTAGTTAGGAAAGCAAATTTGTGCAATGCAAATGGAAAACCACCATGTGAAGCTAGTACAATTAGCTTTTCCAAGAGACAAATGCTTCAATGTCTCTACCTCGAATGTCATGTTTCTTGAAGCAGGTGCCCACTCCTCCGCTATCCGTTTCTCCAAGGATTCTATGTCAGCCGTTGGCGGCACTCAAATATCAAAACCAGCTTCTGCTTCAGATGGCTGCAAATTCATGACAAAACCCTAGCAGCAAATAACAAAGAACGTCTATAAGTTAGATGCAGACATCAACATATCACTATTTTCTCCATGAATGTCAAATGTATATATGGCTTGCATTACACACAAGATCGATGGATTGAGCATGACGGTGGGAAAGAAAATACGGGCTGAAAGGCCTAACTAACGATGTTTTAAATAATCGAGCAATTTCAGCATAGAAAGTTTGATTCTTTCCTTTAGCAACTCCAGTGCTTCGAGGGACTAGGAGACCAAGATTAATGCACATGGTAAGCAATAGCTGGCTGAAAAGCATAATTTCATGGAAGTAAGGTAAGGAAAGTGAAATGTTCATTCAGCAAATGATGATCTAAAAGCTTTGGGGTTTACCGTGGGAGAGGGGGTGCCGGCCTTCAGAAAAACCATGTTAACCGAAACGACTTCCCCTTCGGACTTCAAACCAGCCTTAAGCAAATCGAACTGCGAAGCCCGGAACCTCCTGATGGTCTCAATGCTCTTGAAAAGGTTCTCCATTGCACTATTGTCATAGAGCTTTGCCCCATGTCCTGGAGCTCCATTACTCTTTATCATCAGCCACCACGGAGCCTTCTCGGCATAGAATAGCCTATAGTTTTCATTCTGAGAAGGAAGCCCTGTCCCCCCCCCCCACACCAAAAAAACACATGATCATCACCAAGAGATTAATACAGAACGGCCAATTATCAAACGCCTAGGCTTCAAATACCCAACTATTACTTATATGGAATAAATTAGCAAAATTTAGTAAGATACGCAAACTGATCTAAATTATGACAAATTACACTTCGTAATTACCTTCATCAAGCACAATTCCAACATTCATATCCCTGAAAACATCAGAGTAAGCAAGTTTCTTAGCACCATCATTTCCACCAATCTCTTCATCAGGCACAAACGACAAGTAAAGAGACCGTTTTGGGCGAAACCCAGAAACCTTCAACCTTCGGACAGCCTCCAGGTACTACATCCCAACGCATTTCATATCCTGTGAGCCTCTACCAAATACGTTGCCTCTTTCATCCACGTAACCCGCGAGGGGCGGATGGGTCCACTTCGAATCCTCAAACGCGACCACATCGGTGTGGGAGTTTAAAAGGACGGAGGGCAGAGAAGGGTCGGAGCCTGGCCACTTGAGGAGAACGACTGGTTTGGCTTCGACGAATTCTATCACTCGGGATTGTAAAGAGAGAGACTCGGCTTGGGATATGATAAATCGGGTTGAGGTTTGGTAGTCTGGGGAAGGTTGGGTTGTGTCGATTTGAAGGTATTGTTGGAATCTCGATATGATTTGGGACTGCTCGTCGTGGGATGGCGGCTGTGTTGGTTCTGCCGGAGCTGAAAGAGAAGAGAGGAACAGTGGAAGAAGATGGAGAAGAAGAACTAGGAAAGATCGACGATCACAATTGCAAGACTTTTCCATTGATTTCACTCGCTTTGCAGTGACGCTGAACTGTGTTATTGTCATAAGAAAGTAACTACAAAAAGGTTAAACTACAAATTTGACAACTGAACTTTACTCTCTCTCCTATTTCAATAACTGTATTTTAAATCTTTTCAATTCTTTCACTTAAATTAATATATTAGGTTTTTTTGTCACTCAGCCGATTCCTCACTAACGACGTTATATATGGGCTTTTATATAGATGCACAACGACGTCATTTTAGTAACAATTTTATTCTTTTAAAATGGTATCATTTTAATGTTGTTAACTACTTAATGGCGGAGTAACAAAAAAAACTCAACGTATTAAGTTCAATGAGAAAATTAAAAATGTTTAAAGTTCAGTGAGCAAACTAGGAGATAAAACAAAATTTAGTGATGAAATTTGTAATTTACCCTTAAAAATATAAGAAAATAATGGGTAAACTACACTAATAATCACTTATATTTTTAGAGTGTTCGGTTTTCGTCAGGTTCAAAAAATTGATTTTGATCCCTTACTATATCAAAATTGTTTAGTTCTAATCCTTCGATCATTAACTGCGGTTATCTTTAATTAGGATGATCTATATCTAAATCGTTTAGTTCTAATTCCTCGATCATTAACTGAAGTTATCTTTAATTTGGATGATCGATATCTAAATCGTTTAGTTCTAATCTCTCGATTACTAACTGTAGTTATCTTTAATTAGGAGGATCGATATCTAAATCGTTCAGTTCTAATCCCTCAATTATTAACTGTGGTTATCTTTAATGTGGTTTTCTACCACATTATTTTGATAATTTTATCTACTACAATAAAATTGTTATTATGATATTTCAAAGATGGTAGAGTTTAATAAATTTATTGATTTTAATTTATAATAATTTTAATAAAAAATAATGATGATTTTATAGTAAATAATATTTATTTTGTACTCGTTCGATAAATTTAATAATTAATTTATTTTTTATAGTTTAAATTATTGAAAATATAATTTTAGAATAATTTAAGGATGTTTGGTATACTTTACCCGACAGATAAAGAAAGCCCTTTCAAATTTCACGCTCCAAAAGTCTCCACTTTTTATACCATAATTAGGGTTGTAAATTCGGGTAATCGTTCAGGTTTCAGTCGGATCCTGACAGGTCGGGTAAAAGCGGATACAAGTTAAGTCAGGTAAATTTGACACCAGATCCAGATCGGGTTCAGGTCAGGTCATTTTCAGTTCGGATCGTTGCCAGATCAGGTCAAAACAATTCAGGTCCGAAGCAGTTAAAAATCAGGTTAATTCAGGTTCGGATTGAATTCAGACGGATCTCGTTCAGATCAGGTCACATCATTGGTAGATAAAATTCAGGTCGGATCTCTATTAGATACGGATTGAGTTCAAATCGGGTTAATTTTTATTTTTGGATTAATTATTTTCATCTTTCACGAACGTTGAATTTCAATTTGTAATTATATATGATTTAGAGTAAATTACTAAGAATATAAATAATCATGGTTCAATTTTATGAAAAATACAAATTTAAGAATTAAATTGAACAAATATGAAATTACAAATAAAAATTTAAATAAATTAAACAACACACATTGATGAGGGATCAAATCAAAATAATTTTAAATTGTGAGGTTGAAATTAATACAAAAAAAACTAAATTATACACATTTAAAAAGTTATGGGCCAATTAAAAATATAATTAAGTAATAAGTATGGATCAATTTCATATGCAAATAAATTTTGGAGAACTAAATTGAACAAATATGAAATTAAAAATAAAAATTTAAATAAATTAAACAACACACAATGATGAGGGATCAAATCGAAATAATTTCAAATTGTGATGTTGAAATTAATACAAAAAAGTACTAAATTATACCCATTTAAAACGTTATGGGCCAATTTAAAAAAAGAAATAAGTAATAAGTATGGGTCAATTTCAGATGCAAATAAAATTTGGAGGACTAAATTGAACAAATATGTTACAGATAAAAATTTAAATATATGAAACAACATAAAAGGGATTAAATCGAAATAATTTTAAATTTTGAGTTTAAAATTAATACAAAAAATACTAAATTATACCCATTTAAAAAGTTATGGGCCAATTTAAAAATTGAAATAAGTATGGGTCAATTTCAGGTGCAAATAAAATTTGGAGGACTAAATTGAACAAATATGAAATTACAAATAAAAATTTAAATATATTAAAAAACATAAAAGGGATCAAATCAAAATAATTTTAAATTTTGATGTTGAAATTATACAAAAATGTACTAAATTATACTCATTTAAAAAGTTATGGGCCAATTAATAAATATAAATAAATAATAAGTTGAGAACAAAATAAAACAACGAATATATATATATATATATATATATATATATATATAATAAACTATTAGTTTATATATAATGTATATGTATTATATATATAAACTATATAGTTTATATATATTATGTATAAAGTATAAACTATATATACCATGTATAAACTATAATACTATATAGTTTATATATAAACTATTGAACTATATAGAAACTACATAGTTTATATATAAATTATATATGAATTATATATAAACTATACAATTTATATTTATATACTATGTATAACTATAAATAATATATATTGTATAAATTATATAGTTTATTAATATAAGTTATGTAGTTTATATATATATATATATTATGGTTTAGGGTTTAATATTTAGGGTTTATATTTATATAAACTATAAACTATAATTTATATTTATATACTATATTTTATACTATTTATATAAACTATAGTTTACATTTATATACTATATATATGAACTATAGTTTACATATGAACTATATATATAAACTATATAGTTTACATATAACCTATATATATATATACTATAATTGATATTTATATACTATATAATTTACATATGACCTATAAATATATACTATAGTTTATATTTATATACTATATATTATATATATAAACTATATATACTATGTAGTATAATTTACATATGAATTATATATAAAACCCTAAACCCTAAATCCTAAACTATATATTATATAGTCTGTTAGTATATATAAACTATATAATATATATAGACTATATGGTATATATAAATTATACATTATATATAGTTCATTAGTATATATAAACTATATAGTACATATAAACTATATATTATATAGTTCATTAGTATATATAACCTATATAGTATATGATATATACAAACTATATATTATATAGTTCATTAGTATATATAAACTATATAGTATATATAAACTATATATTAATTTATTAATATAAACATATATATATTAATTGAAAGAATTGAAAAATATATAAGGATCAAATTGAAAACATTTTAAATATGAAACTTAAATTAATAAATTATAACATTAAATTTTGATTAAATTGAAAAAAATTAAAATATGAAGCTTAAATTAATATATTAAATCATTAAATTTGGACTAAATTGAATACATTTAAAACTAAGAGACAACACTACAATATCAAATGAAATTAAAAAACAAGCGGGTTTTCTCCCTCGCTTAACCCACAAAAAATCAGCATCATTTCCCGCCTGATGATTTTAACATAACCATGGCTTCTAATCCGTCTGCTTCTAACATAAAAACCATGGCCATCACCTTTAGCCATTTCCTTCAATAATCTAATTTTTCTTCCCTTTTTTGAACTCCAATACTGGTACTTCATCTCTCTTTCTCTTTCCCTTTGATTGATTTCTATGTTTGTTTAGATCTTTTGGCTTCTTTTAGCTATAGAAAAGGTGCTGACTTTGTTTACTTTACATAACTTATTTGGTTGATTGCGAATCAGTGAAAAGTTTGTTCTTTTTTATTTTAATGTTCTGATCTGATATGGGTTTCTTTTGATGTTTAGATTTATGGGTTTTGCATGAAAATTTATGGGGATTATTGAAAGTTTACTTTTATTGTTGTTTTTCTTATGTTTTGTTAGTGTAAATTGATGAGATATCATTGGATGAGGAAAACAGTGTTGTGGGAGAAATATTGATTGTTTCACGGGCAATACATGTCGTGGATATTTCAAGGCGAAGCTTTATTCTTCGAATTGCACCGCTAACAACGCTTCGTCCGGCCGATCGAATTCGACAGCCGATTATTCCCCTTCCGCTGTGAACTCTCAACAGCTTTATTTTTCGGCAGATGCTTACACATTTGTTGTTGTTTTAAGTGCTTGTGCAGATTTAGCACTTATTGAGAGAGGTAAACAGATCCATACGCACATAGTGTCGATGTCATGTTGATCAAATAGTTGGGAGGTTTATTTTTGAATCTTTTGAAGAACTTTTGATTTCTTGTCTCCAATGCATATATTATGGGCAGAAGGTCTAACATTGAACATGTGATTGTGTTGCTCGCACAGGGATTCTGCAGATGTGGAGGAAGAGCAAAAGATGCTCGAAGAGGTTGGTTTGGTGCAATTTTTTTGGTGTGGTGTTTTTTAGATGTTATATTTGTGTCTATTGATTTTCCTGAATGTTGTTTCAGGCAATTAAAAATGCTCGAGAGAGTGATAGAAGAACATTGTTACGAGCCGAAGTGTCCAATTACGACTCCACTTTGATTTAAGTATGAGTTTCTTGATTTAGGTTGAATTTTTCTAACTTTTAAATCATGATTATTGATAAGTTCTAGTGAATCAAGCTGTGTTGCTTACACCTCTGTTAATTTCTTGACATGACTCGTGAAAGAAAGAGTTAACTAAATGCTTAGAAGTTATAAAAGTCTTTCTTGAATTGGATTTACATTGATTGAGATGATATGGTTCCGTTTGGAAAGACCCAATGGCGTGCTGGTATTTGAACCTTAGATCCACAACTGCTACTGGCTGTTACCTACTTCATAAAAAAGATATATCCTTGTTAGATAAACAATTCAGTCTTTGTCAGCTTGGTAAGGCATGCGACTTTCTTCTTATGCCTCTCATGATTCAGTCCATTGTTTTGGTTCAAGGAAAAAGGTAATATGCAAAATTTGCCTTCAGTATACCTCTGCATCGGCAAGTTTAGAACTTGAGATCCAAAAATTTAAACATATGTTTTGTTCTTTTTAAGTTAATTGTTTCTTAGTTGAGCAGGATATATGTACTTGAAGTTATTCTTGATATATCAACTTTGTCAATGAACTTGGTATCTGATAGCTACTAATATGTATACCGTACACTTTGGCAAAGTAAATTACCTAAGTACGATCTTTTAATATTCCCTGGTAATTTATTCTGCCAAATGCCTTAATGCTGATCCACCTTTGCTTGTAACAGATGAATAAAAGTAGTTCCAAAAGTTCATCGAAAACCACGGCCAACAAAGAAAATGGTAGGGTGGGTGAAATTTTTCCTTCTACATCACTTGAGGAATATGCCAAGCTAGGTAGAAAAGATGGTGGAAATCATGATGGTCAATATGACTCCAAGAATGACTGCATTGGTGACCACGATGATGATGATTAAGATGAAGATGGTGAGGATGATGCTGACAATGAAGAACCGAATGCGTAACTGAGAAGCCTGTGAATAACTGGTGAGAAAGAATCTATGCATACATCAGAATCTTTAACATTATTTATTGACCTTTGCTCCAAGCCGTTTTCTACTCAGCTATCACTATACTAGCAGGATCTGTGATGTCCATCCGGCTTTAACAAGTTCTTACAATTTTGTCATAAGATTAAAATTCCTAGAATGTAGTCGACTGTGATGATATTACTTGCATTTTCTCTCCTTTATCCATTAGAACTTCCTAGCTGAAGATGATACTTGGTAATTCTTGTGGCATGGATCCACTTCAGTCATTTATCTTTTACTTTTTATTTGTTTCCTATTCCAAGTAACATTTTTAACTATGCAATTATTGCTTTACTTTTTTAATTTACTTCAGTCCTGTAATGTGTATGTGTCTGCTTGCAAGCATCCTAACAGTTACAATCATACTTCATAAGCTTCAATTTTTTTCTATTCCCAGCTAATGTTTAGAACCATCACTTCCACGAAGAAATTTAAAAAAAAAAAACACCAAACAAAATTGAATCAAATCCAAAGTTGAGTGACCAACTTTTGAACCTATTTATATTTGAGTGATAAGAGTGTAAAATTTTAGTTAATGCTATAACGATGGAATGATTTTTTTGATTAAAAATCAATAAATAGAGTGATTGGTATAATTTTTTAAAGTATAGTAATCTAATATAAATTTAAAAATTTTATTTTAAAATTTTAAGTTAATTTATACTTAAACTATTAATTAATTTTCACATTAAAAATTAATTAGATTTATGAATATTTTAACTTAATTTATATAATTTAATAAAATCATGTTCAATAAAATAATATTTAAATTTAATTTAGTGATTATAAATAAAATTTATAATATAAGAATTATAAATAATATATGGAATTAGAATTAATATAAAAATCAAATTTATAATATACAAATTATAATTAATATAAAAATTAAATTTCAAAAAGTAATCATATTAATTTAATTATCATAAGTTTATTATACATTTAAAATAACATAATTATATTAATTGTAACTTACTACTTATAAGTCAAGATAATATCAGATCACTTTAATAACATGTCGGATCATTTACAGGTTGAGTCAATTAAAGGTTATGTTCATAACAGGTCACGTTGAAAACAGGTCTGGTAATACCAGTTATTTACCGGGTCAATTTCAGGTTCGAGTTCATATCAGTCGAATGCAGTTCGGGTATCATATTTTTTGTTCAATTCGGGTTCAGATCGTTCTCAGGTCAGATGCAGGTCGGGTTCAGATCCACAATTTCCAGGTCCAACTCAGGTTCAGGTCAACACCAGTTTTGACTCGAGTCGGTTTCGGATCGCCACAACACATGTCAAAAATAATTTTAACTCAAGTCGATTTCATTCAGTTTTACAAGTCTGGTCAGCTTTTTACGCCCCCTAACCATAATCAAAACATCCCCATTTCTTCATAATTTTCCAAAACGATCGAAAGAAACCTCACGAAAATCTTTCCGGGAATATCTCACTTTTCTCGATCTTCTCTCAAACCCCACAAAAGAAGAAGAAGAAGACGCTATTAAACAATGGAGGATTGCATGAGACTCTGCATGAGAAAGCTAGCCCTTTGGTACACCAAGACGTTCAAGCCCCTCATGACCCACGACGAGCTCGAACCCATCATGGCCACAATGGGTTTCGTCGGCCTTCCGCTGGAATACAGCGCTTCCACGCTGTCTTGGAAGGAGTACGTCTACAGCGCGCCGTCCCCGGGGTTCTCGTCGCGGTGGTCGAAGTCCTCGCCTTGTTCGGGTTCCTTTGCCGGTGAACCGCTCAAGGCGGAGCCGCCGAGGCCGAAGCTGCCTTACCCCAGGATCGATGGGCTCCACATTTACACTTACCGCGCTTTCCTGGACGCCGTTAACTTTTATCTCGAGATGTGCGACATTTCTGAGCTCTTCCACATTAGGTACGGATTGCTTTCAATACATACATACATATATATATATATATATATGTTTAGTTTCATTTACTATTTTAAAGCCTGTTAGTTGGGAAAGAAATAAAGATTGAGTATTTGTTCTACATTTATTGTTTTATTAATTTCTGTGATGGTTTTTATATGAGGAATGAAATAAATGAGGCCATGACTAAAAGTGTTATTCGTGCCTAGGATAAAGTATCGGATTTATTGATTGATTAATTCGGATAGAGTCCGTATAGCCCCATAATGGACGGTCGATCCGATCCAGTATTCTACTATTCTCCGTTCACAACTTCATAATTCGAACTTTTCATCCCGTTCGACCAACTAACCATTGATAAGTATGTTTTATTTCTAATGATATTATGAGAGTTTTATTGGGAACAACTCTTTGCAATTTGAGGCGTAGTGCAATAGTCCAATGCTCTTAACCTGTCAACAATCCGGTAGGTCTTGAATTCGAATCGAGGAGTATCGGATACGAGGATAAGTCTCGATTCTGGTGTTTTATAATTTTTTTTCCTACAAGACTCTTTATGTATTTCGACAGTCGTCCAGCGGCGTATTCCGATGCTCATGTCTAAGTATGTGGCTGATAAGGGATTGAGTATCTGTGCGCCAAGAAAAATGGAGTCCGATGTTCGAAATGATTATGCTTGTTTCGAGCTTGCAAGTTCTAACAGGCTTTACTTGAGCATCTTCATTGACAAATTCATGCAGAATCCTGGATATTAAACGAATTTCGAGCTCGATGAGTCTGTATTACGGTTTTCATGTATTTGGAGGGACAAGGGCATTTTATGTATTTCGAGAGTCGTCCTGGGTTCGTATTCCAATACTCATTTCTAAATATGTGGTTGATAAGGGATTGAGTATCGGTACATCAAGAAAACTAGAGTCCGATATTCGATATGGTTGTGCTTGTTTCAAGCTTGCAAGTTCTAACAGGCTTTACTTAGGCATCTTCACTGACAAATTCATGCAGAATCCTGCATATTAAACGAATTTCGAGCTCGATGAGTCTCTATCTCGGTTTCCATGTGTATTTGGAGGACTCTACAAGGTTATATCTTTATAATCATGTTTCAATATTACTTTGATATGTATTTAGACTTTACTTATGCATCTTCATTGACAAAGTCATACATGATCTCTGGTATTAAATGAATTTCGAGCTTGACGAGTTTCGATTTCGAGCTCGATGATTTTGTCTCGAGTTTCCATGTTTGCGTATTAGTTTAATACAGATGCTTAAAGAGACATGAAGAGTTAGCAACAAAGCTAATTTCCTTTTTTTCTTTTCAGGGGAATGCCGCTTTATCGGAATCACGACCGGAGCAGGAAGTGGAGATGTATGGAAGAGGACGATAGCTTGTTCGTATACCGGGAAGGAACACTGGAACAAACAATATACAATCTGTATCATTTCAACAAGACAAACTCCAACAGCAATGGTTACAGCTCGGTAGTTATTCGAGACAAAGGGAACAACGACGACACCGTTAGCTGCGTTGTTCCGTTGAAGGACATCATAGTATGACGCACCTACAAAGGTTCACCATTTTGTTCATGGAATTCACATGCCCCATAGTCGATTTTTCGAGGTTTTTTTTTCGGTTTGAAAAAACTAGATTCTTTTTATCATCATTAAGAAAGATGAACAAAGAAAAACAGAGATCTTGAGGACTTGAAAGAATTAGATTAGTCACTTTTTGTTTAATGATTAAATGCCTGTGAATTAGAACTTACAGTGTGGGTTCTGTTGCTCTCACATGGTGGTGTCTGTGCATAACTTTTTTTTCCGGATCGAATCGAGCTGCGACTTAATTTAACTAAAATTAAATTGATAGAATGTATAATTAATGAGGATCAAATGTGTAATTATACAAATTTCCTTTATTTATCAAGCCAACATTTATGTTAATGTTCAATAATTTAATTAAACTATTTTAATAGTTTAATGATTTAATTGATAAAATTCATAATTCAATAGTCAAAATAAAATCTATCTTATAGTCTAGTGATTAGACAAGTAGTTTACCCTTTATTATATATCTTACATAATTTACATAAACTAGATTTTTTTCAACAATAGAAGTGTAAACGGCGTTTGATGAATTATTTTTGAACGGTTCGTATAATATTCGTTTATGTTCGTTTGTTAAGTTAAGTAAACTAGTATGAACAAAAATTTTATGTACATATAATAAACGAATGAACATGAATAAAGGCGTGTTTGGTTCGTTTATGTTCACGAGCTTGTCGTTTATATGTTCGTTTATCAATTTATTTATATATGTTCATGAACAAGTTCATTTACCTGGTTCTCTTTTTCCTTATATATTTTTTTATATTTTAAATATTGACGAAGGTAGTGACTAAATTAAACACATGGTCAGATTTAGAGTTTAAATTGTTAAGCATTAATGGTGTAATTTTATCATTTTTTTTTCTTTAGCTTGTAAATGAAAATGTAGAAACTAAAAATTCAACTTATAAACGAACGTTAAATGAACAAATTCTTGAACATACAAACGAACATGTTCACGAACAATAAATAAACGAACACGAACTCTTTCAAAAATAAATAAATGCACATAAACACAATATTAACAATTTAAACAAACAAAAACCGAACATGAATATTTTAAAAAAATACCACGTTAGTAGTTCTATTATTTTTTTAACGACGGGTAACTAAAATGAAACTAAAACGTTACATTAGGCTTGATTTTGAAAAAAGATAATTAAATAACTAAAATGGAATAAAAGTTATATTAATGACTAAATTGATCAGTTTATCATTTGACATTGTTCGTTTATATTAATTATAAATTATCGATTTTCTGTTTTATTTTAATCACCTTATCGTTGATATTTCTTTATTTTCTCGAAGTCATCGTTTTTGGTATTTTAAGGTTTGATTCTTTGTTAGATTTTGATTATTCAAAGCTGTATAGTAGTTTGTATGTTTGAAAAAAAAATCTCCAACATCAATGAGGGAGCGTTCTAAGGTTTTGTCATATCAAAAAGGAAGGCCTAAATAGGAAGTTTAAAAAAATTTAATTATTAGAAACGCCATTTTATAATCATTCATCAACGGATATCGTTTTTAAGATCGAATAAAAATATAATTATTCATCAACGGATATCATTTTTAATAAACAATTCTGTGATTTTACAAAATACAAAGACATTATTATATCTATCTCATTACCTTTCAATACAATTTAAACTATGGGTTTTGCAACTTTCAATAAACGGTTTTTTAAAATCATTAAACGAGTGAAAATAAACGGTTGAGATTAGATTATCTTTTCATTTCCTACGGTTAATCTTAACCATCTATTTTCATTATTAAAAAAGTTTTAGTTTTACGCGGAATGAATGAATCCTGCCATACATGTATTATTAAGAGTTGTTTAAGGCAGTGTTGGAAGCATCCTTACTTGACCTATTGTACTTCATGTGGCTATTAACTAGTTGCCCAGCTGCCAGTGCGGACATGAGCGACAGTTCTCCCGCAAGGACAGCTCCGGCAACGATGTTAGCAAGGAGTCTAGAGTTCGCACCGGGTGACTCTCTGTTTCCACCCTTGACTCCGAGAAGATTCAAGCATGCCGATTGAGATGCAAGCTGAGTTCCACCACCAACAGTGCCGACCTAAAAGATAAATCAGAAGTTGCATCAATACCCGGTTTTACATTGCTAGATAATTTGATTATGAGACGGTGACATGATTGATCACCTCGATGGAAGGCATTGTGGCGGAGGTGTGAAGGTCGTTTCCATCATTCACAGCTTCCATCATCGTGATGCAATGAGAGCTCTCAATGTTTTGAGCCGGATCTTGACCGGTAGCAATGTAGATTGCAGTCACGATGTTACTAGCGTGTGCATTGAATCCACCCAATGCACCGGCCATAGCAGATCCGGTAAGGTTCTTAAGCATGTTAAGCTCCACAAGGGATTCAACACTAGTCTTCAAGACTTTCCTCACCACATCACCGTTAATGATGGCCTCGCAGACGACAGATTTGCCTCGTCCTTCGACCCAATTCACCGCCGCCGGCTTTTTGTCGGAACAGAAGTTTCCTATATCCATAAGAAATCCATATAAGTCAAGTAAATCAAGTAAGTTCATTGAAACGAAACTCACCCGATATGCCGATGACATCCATTTCAGGGAAATCCGTTTGAAGGAAATCCAAAACGTTTTGGACTCCTTTTGAAACGAACAGTTTTGGCTAATTTCCGGTTCAAGTCCTCATTTCGCCGCATGCATTCAAGGTCTCTTAAAAGTCATAGCCGACATCGAAATCTCCTTCACTTTAACGTCGAAATCCGCCGGAGAAGACGAAGCCGACGGGTGATTTGTTGCTGTAGAGTTTTGAAAAAAATTATTGGTTGAAATAATGTCTCACTGAAATTATTTGTTGAGATAGGGTGAAATCTACAGTTCGAACATATGGCGCCTCGCCAGTTTGGTCACCGAGAACACATGACGACCTATAAGGTCGTTCGGCATACATGACTACCTCCATTTAAGCATAGTTAAAAAACTTAATTACCGATGTAGGTAATCGTTGTTACTTAGGAAAATTTAGGTAATCGCATGAAAGCCTAATTACCGATATAGGTAATATTTGTTACTTAGCCCAGCGTGCATGGCGACCTATCCCTCGAATGGCCTCGGTCGGATGGCCTCGGATGCCCAGCGTGTTGGAACGTGCATGGCACATGCAAAATATCTCGTAGCTCGCCGGGAAGAAATTGCGACCTACAGTCAAAACTATAGATTTCACTTTATTTGAGCAATTAATATAGGGAGTGCATTATCTCGTGAATTAATTTATTCAAAAATATTATCTCGGTGAAATGGACTTCGTTGATGATCCCACCCATCATTATCGCCTTGGTTAACATCGTTGCACTGGTCACCGCCTTCGCGAGGACACTGTTCGGTACCGGAAAATGGAACATGTTCATCGGAGGTGCGTTCTTTGCTTCCTGGGTGTTGTGTCATTTGTATCCTTTTGCTAAAGGGTTGATTGGCCGGCGGCGGAGGACACAGACGATCGTCTTCGTCTGGGCCGGTCTCATCTCCATTATCATCTCTTTTCTGTGGATGACCCTCAATCCCAACGGTATCAATTCTCTCGGCGGTACTGCCTCTTCCAGCGGGTCTGGTTTTTCATTCCCTTGAGCACGAAGAAACTAGAGTGGCACACTCAAAGTTTTGGGAAATTTACATTATATCTTTGAAATGTTTTTGAAATTTTAGTTAAGCCCCTTCAAAATTGTAATTGATTTTTTGGGTTATTTTTTAAAAGAAATTATAGAAAATAATTATATAATTAGAATAGAGTTTTCTGGGGATGATTTAGGAATAAGACCAAAGGGGGAAAAGTTCATCTGAAAATGTAATTTTTGTTCTTTTTATGCATGTAATTATGTATGTACATTTTGTAGGGTAAAGTATATAAATAGTCCCCAAACATTTAGGGTACTTGCATTTTGATCACTCAACTTTTGAAACTTACAATATAGTCATTGAACTTTTAATTCATTTTCATTTATGTCACTATCATTACCTTCCGTTAATTTTTACCGATGTGATAGTTAATCTTTTTTTTTGCTTACGTGGTAGTTAACCCTTCTTCTTCTCAATGAAATCTCATACACAAAGCCTTGTCATTTCTTGGATTTTTTCTCTCTCTCTCTCTATTTTCCCAAGAAAATTCAGCTTCTCTCTACTTTCTCAAAAAAAAAAATTGATTAACAAACGAGCAACCAAGTGAAGCAAGCAACCACGGTCAACCAACAACTAAGACCCCTCTATGGGCCTCTGATCAGACCATAACAGGATAAGACAGAACACAACTTGAAATGAAAGATTGCCCATATTGACTCAAAACCAGAACAGAGAAGAGAATGCCCAAAAACGACTTGGAAGAACTTAAACAACATAAACAACCTAGAAAAAACCAAGTCGAGGAAGACAACTACACAAGCACACGCAAAGGCTCACTCCAATCATTATAGTCGAAAGAGAATCAAACCTGCTTAACAAACGAAAGGCAAGGGATGCAACTAGGATATTTTAAATGCTTAATAACACAAAATCGCTAGCGCCAAGCACCCAATACAAGCACTAACGGGTGGTTAAGTGTCACGTCAACGAGAACTAACTAGTGATAAAGACAAGGATTAAAATGAAAATAAATTAAAAGTTTGATAACAATTTTGTAAGTTTCAAAAGTTGGGTGACCAAAATATAAGCATCCTAAAAGTTTAGGGATTATTTATATACTTTACTTTTTTATTAAGCTAATGTGATTACAAAATAGTATATGTTCTAAATAATTTTAATCATTTGATAATGAACACTCAATCATCCTATTGCAATCACTTATTGATAGTACAATGATCAAATTCAATTATAAAGTATAATATCATGACTGATAGTAGAATTTGACTTAATAAATTTAACAGGTGTTATTGGAATCAAATAAAGTTTCGAAATTTGAAAAGTATAAGAATAAAAAAATGATCAAATTCAATATAAGGACATAAATTCACAATTTAAGTATAGTACAATGACTAATAGAAGAATTTAACCATTTTTAGGTAGAAATGTCCATACTTCATAGACAAAAAACAAATGGTTGAAATATGTAAATGATCCTTATACTATTTCAAAGCATAAAATTCAATTCATATACTTCAATTTTACAACAATTATACATTATTAAGCCCTTATACTATTTTTATTTAAGGATCTTAATTCTAACCCTAACTTCTATTGAAAATTTAAAAAAAACTTTTTCAGCCCCCTGAATTTATACTTTTCATTGATTTGACCCTTAATTAATTATATCATTAAATGCATCGTTTAAAAAAAATCAACCTCCAAGTCGTTGTTTTGATAAAAACCTTTTTTTTTTTAATTGAGGGGAAGAGTTGCATCGAACTCTTAAGCACGAGGGGCCGTTTACATCTCGGTCTATCATAGCAAGGAGATCTGATGGGGCAGCGTGTGACGTTCAGGGAAGCATGATCCGCAAGCTTAGTAAGTGCATCCGCCACCTTATTACATTCTCTCGTGATCTATTGGATATCAGTTGCCCATGCTTTGCATCTCAAGTTATGAATCGTATGCACCAAGGCTGAAATATGAACAGCACCATCTGTAGTCTCTACTATCTTGGTTGCACTGAGGCAACCGGTTTGGACAATAACACGCTCGAAATCATTTTCCCATGTGATAGTCAGTCCGATAAGAATTCCCCACAGCTCTGCTTGAATCGGCGGACAACAACCAATTGATGCGGCGCTTTTTGAAGTGTTAGTGGAGACAGCTCCGTCAGTATTAAGGCAGACCCATCCGTGAGGTGGTTTTTGCCAGTGAACATGCAAAATGGATTCTTGTTCACTACACATCGAGCATGAAGAGTCGGATGTCAGGTTCCTTTTTGAGCGTTCCAAGGTCGTCATAAGGAGGACGATCCAAATAAACACCCTGATTCGTTGCAGCACTTGCATTCGCCAGATATGACTCCACATGCTATTACGAGTGGACCAAGCTTGGGATGCTAAAGATTCATATGCAGAGGCAACAGTAAACTCATGAGTCATGCCCCATCTCCACATGCATCTATTGTGGATATTACCCGACGATGGGGGTTTTATGCCAATGATGTGCTTTATAGCATTCTCTGGCAATAAAGTCTTTAGATAATCAATATTCCACTCACCATTCTGGTCTACAAGGTCGGCCAAGTTACATTGAAGTATAACTTGAACAAAATCCAATAAATGCTCTTGAAGGGGGCCGATTGTCGGCACCCAAACATCATTCCAAACTTGCATGCCAGCTCCTGATCCAAAGGACCATGCAACATTTGGTCGAAAGAGATCCCACATATTGGAGAGAGAGAGAGAGCACCATAAAGTAGAGCTGACTAACAGATGAATAGAGCGAGGGAAGGGTTCATGATCTTGTATTTTTGCCGTAGGAGACGAATCCAGAAGTCTTCCGATTTACTTATTAGAGCATAGCAAATCTTCATCAGTAGCGCTTGGTTTCCGGTTTACTTATTAGAGCATAGCAAATCTTCATTAGTAGCCCTTGGTTGTACTCACAAACACGATGTAAACCCAAGCCACCATTGCTGAGCGGTTGGCATAAAACTATAGCCGGCGCAGATTGCTCGACGATGCTGTACTGAAACTCCCAAATATTTACCCAATGTTTCAACCTGTCGAAATCCCAGTCTCTCACTGATGGCACCCTCAAGGGTAGGATCAGTGTTTTTAAACCTTTAATTACATCATTTAGAATTAAAATAAAATAATTAATAAAAAAATTGTTTTTATATTGTTCTTGAATCGGTTGGACATTGATCCTGATCAACCCACAGATCTACTTGTAGATAAACAAAAACTGCTAAAAATGTTATCAAATGGATAAAAACTGCTAAATCAACACTAAACATTGCATAATGATCATTGTTCGAGTGATCAAATCGATAAAAACTGTAAACATAAAGAACTAAAAAAGTTATTTTACCTTTTTATAACCACTAAATCGACTAGCCCTACAATTTAATCTTATACGCCGGACGTCTCGTACGGGACTCGTACGAACAACTGACCATGAAGGGTAACCACGGCTGACGACTGGTGCGGATCGATTCTTGATGGCAAGCTGACGACCTGGACATGAATCGCATATCGTTAATGCACACGAAAAATGGTTGTCCGGAAGAATCGGCACTCACCTAATTGCCATGCCATGATATCGAAACCGACGATAGAATGGCTACACTACATCGAAATATCGTCGAGTTGGTCTAACCTTTTTGAAGGGAGTGACACCCCAAGGATTATCGAGTTGGTTCGGTTGACCGGATATAACCAAGCGTCCTGCTGGATCGGACTGGACATGCACCTGAGTCATTTAAGCACATATGGTAATCCATCAACAAAAATCAAACACAATCTATAGGAAGAAGTTGAAAGGAAAATGGATCCAGCAATTAATGCAAGTCTTATTAGGATCCTCTTACGAATCTTAACAAAAAAGATAGAGATCTCGAGATTAATCTACTTAGCAAGTACCGATCCCGTAAATTTACCGAAAAGATCGTGTTCGTATATAGCATTTATAATGGCTAGACTAATGCAAACTTAGCACATTACGAATGACATATCAGCTTATTTGGACAGCCTTAAGTTTCTACATATTATTCCTTCCGCCTTACTTCCTCCAGTCGATGACCGGGAAAGTAAATCACTCGAGGATCGAAACAGATTTCCTACAAAAGTTCCATTGTAGAAAAGTAACTAGCCCTTCGTCTAGAACGAAAAAGTATCTTCCAAATAAGCTTTACGTCTTAAAGCCGTGCAATTTAGAAAGCACAATACTAAACACGAAACAGAGGATTATCTGAAGATATACGAACCTCCTCACGGAGAAGCCCAGGAACCAAAGCGTATACCTCAAAGCAGTCAACCTGGGAGGGGCAGAGAGAGAGTCGTA